CAGCACTTGACCGAAACGGCCCGGAACCACACCCGGAATCCGCACGTCCACTCGCAAAAATTCTGCGACACTGCGGCTTTACAGACGCGTGGAGGCTGCAACACCCGTCCCAACGACAGTACACATGGCACCGCGGGTCTGCCCAAGGGAAAGTAAGCCTAGCCAGACTCGACAGGATATATATAAACAAAGAAGGGGTGAACCGGCTGAGCAACAGTAGAATAGATCCATCGGGGTTCTCCGACCATCATCTAATGTCGACGTCGCTGCAAGTCTATGGAGAGTCGCGCCGCTGCCCCTACTGGCGGATGGACGTGGAGCAGTTGGACGAGAAAGCGTTCAAGACGGCCTTCGTGGCCTGCTGGCCGCACTGGAGGAGGGAGCAGGCCGCCTCCGGCTCCAGCTCTGGCCAGCAGGGGTGGGAGACCTTGAAAACACAAGTGCGAGCGCTCAGCCTGCAACTCGCGGGGCAGAGGGCTGCCGTCAAACGCGATGCGGTGGGGCGCCTGGCAGACGAGTTGCTGCGACTTGAAGCCGAGACAGGTGCAGCAACGAACGCGCACGAGGACAGGGCTGAGCCGCTCCCCCTCCTGTTGGAACGGCGTCAACTCTTCAGAAACGTCACGGACAAACAAGCGCACGCCTCCTTCCTGAGGAAGAAGATGCGGCACCTCACGTACACAGACTCGCCTTCAAAATACTTCTTCAGACTCGGAGAAAGCAGCAAAACCTCCTCCGCGCCCTCACGCAATGGCAACGCCATCCTGAGCCTGTCCACCGATGAAGGGGCGACGACAGACGAGAAAGAAATCAGAGAGATCGCCACGCGCTATTACTCTGACCTGCTCCAGAGCGAACATACGCAGCAGGGAGCGGTCGAGGAGCTCCTGAAGGGAAACGCCACCCTAGGGTGCGAGGAAAGGGAGAGGCTGGGGAAGCCCTTTACCGTGGAAGAGCTGCGCGTCGCCATGGAGGGGCTGCCGAGAGGGAAAGCGCCGGGAATTGACGGACTGCCGGTGGAATTCTATGCGGCGTTCTGGGATATGCTCGGCCCTTGTCTGATGGAAATGTTAGAGGATAGTCTAAGAAGGGGAGAGATGCCTCTGAGCTGCAGGAGGGCAGTGATCACACTGCTGCCGAAAAAAGGCGACCTGCAGCAAATTCGGAACTGGCGGCCCGTCTCGCTGTTGTGCACAGATTATAAGATCATTGCCAAGGCCGTGGCGAACCGCCTAAAGATGGTGGCGGGGCTCATCATACGGAGCGAACAGACTTATTGTGTCCCGGGTCGCAGCATTCATAGCAACATACACACCGTAAGGGACGTCATATCCATGGCCGAAATGCAGAACATGGCGGTGGGGCTACTCTTCATGGACCAGGAGAAGGCCTTTGATAGAGTGGACCATGGGTATCTGGAGAAACTCCTGCTCTCTCTCGGCCTCGGCACCGCCTTTACGAAATACGTCAGACTGCTGTACGCCAATGTCCACAGCATGCTTAAAATAAACCAGCGACTGAGCCGGCCCTTCCCTGTGACAAGGGGAGTAAGACAGGGGTGCCCCCTGTCAGGGCTCCTTTATGCGCTGTCGCTGGAGCCGCTCCTCGAGAGCTTAAGGAACGCCCTGACCGGGCTGGATATTCCTGGACCCGGGGAGGTGAGCGTAAAACTTTCGGCGTACGCGGACGACGTGTGCGTGGTGATTAGAAGCCAAGACGACGTCGCCGCGCTGAGCCGGGCTGTAGGGAACTATGAAAGAGCCACGAGTGCCAAAGTAAACTGGCAGAAGTGCACGGCGCTGAGGGTCGGACCACAGAACCCCACACAGTTAGGGACCCTTCCGGGCGGGGTAGCGTGGCGGGAGGACGGGGTCCGATACCTCGGAGTGTACCTGGGCGACCCGCAAACGGTCCGGAAAAACTGGGCGGACCTGCTCGAGAGGCTCGAGGCAAAGTTGGGAGCGTGGCAGCACTTCCTACAGCACTTGTCCTTTCGGGGGAGGACACTGGTCGCGAACAATCTCGCTGCCTCTATATTGTGGCACACGACGAAGGTCCTCCAGCCCCCCAGATGGCTGATCGTGAAGGCGAACAGAGCGCTCGTTGATTTCGTCTGGGCAGGCAAACACTGGCTGAGGCCGGGTGTCTTGCACCTGCCGTTGGACGAGGGCGGGCAGGGACTCACGGACGTCGCCGCCCGGATTATGGTGTTCCGCCTTCAGGCTGTGAAGAGCCTGCTCTACGACCCGGACGAGGCACCGTGGAAGTCACTGGCCGCTGCCCTGCTGAGGCACGCAGGGGGACGGCTTGGATACGGGAAAGAACTCTTCCTGGCGGACCTCGCCCGCATTGACTGCACGGGGCTCCCCCTGTACTATCGCAGCGTTGTGGAGGCGTGGCGGAGCTTGGAGTGGAAGAGAGAGGACCCGTACGGTGGCATGGGCGCCTTCATGGAAGAACCCCTGTTCTACAATGACCTTTTTGCAGACATCCGGCAAGAGAAGACGATGGCACACCGTTTCGCCACAGCCGGAGTGCGGGCGGTCAGGGACCTTGTGGAAAACCGCGAGGGAGGCCGCAAATGGAAAAATGCGGCCGAAATAAGCCGAACCGTGGGCCTTCGCACTGCACTGGCCGGAGAAAAAATACTGCGTGCGACACTCACGGTGGCCAAAGGCCTGCACCTACACTTGAATGCACCAGACGACACAGGCCACGATCACACGTCCCCTCCCGCCTTTCCGGAGCTGCGCATCGCCGGTGTACAGCCCGCTGGGCGAAGTGACACTGGGATGCTGTTAAAACTCGAGAACTGTGAGGGCGGCGCCCTGAAGAGCGCCTCCAAGAAGGCGCTGTACAACTGCTGCGTGAAGGTCTTACACCGGCGAGCCCTTGAGGACCTGCCCTGCACGAAGTGGGCAAAGGTGTTCCCCCCACTGATTGATGTCACCCCTCAGTGGGCTGAGATGTACAAGGCCCCGGTGGCAAAGCGAAGCGGGGACCTCCAATGGAGGTTGGCCCACTGGACCCTACCCTCGGCGGCGTGGGAGGAGCGAGTCAACCCGGGAGCATCCGACGCGTGCGTCTTTTGCGGCCAGAGGGAGGACCTCGCCCACATGTATGTAAAGTGTCGGAGACTGGCACCGCTCTACCAAACGTTAAGGAGTGTCTTTCAGAAATTGGAGATACCTTTCTTCGAAAGCACGCTCGTGTGCGGGGTGCGACGTAGCGTAAATAAACGCCACACGCTGGCGAATTTCGTCGTCGCGCAAGCTAAACTGGCGATTTATAAGACACGGAAAAAGGGAAGACTCAAAGACGACACAAACCCAGACAGCAACTGTTCGACAGTTGCAATGATGAGGGGCCTAATAGGAGCGAGGCTCCACTTGGAGCATGAATACTATGGCCGAGTGAGCGGAAACTACGACTTCTTTCGGGAGAAGTGGGAAGCCGGCTCTGCGCTCTGCACCTGCGAGAACGGCATACTGACAATAAACCTGTGACCGTTTTGTGTGCGTGACTGTTCGGCGGCGTGGGAGGGAGCAACGCGCTCGCGAACGACGAGAGTGGCGTGCGTGCCACGGGTGTCGCTTTTTTGTTCGGTCTTCTGTCGTGACCCGCCGGAGGGAGTCTTGGTCGCATGACCACGGTGTTTTTTTGACTGGAGAAGCGGCTGGGGCGCAATTGTCGCCCCAGTAATAAAATCGTTTTAAAAGTCAAAAAGTCTCTGTGTCTCTCTCTGTGTCTCTCTCTGTCTCTCTCTCTGTGTCTCTCTCTCTCTCTCTCTGTCTCTCTCTCTCTGTCTCTCTCTGTCTCTCTCTGTCTCTCTCTGTCTCTCTCTCTGTCTCTCTCTCTCACTATCTCTCTGTCTCTCTCTCTCTCTCTGTCTCTCTCTCTGTGTCTCTCTCTCTGTCTCTCTCTCTGTCTCTCTCTCTGTGTCTCTCTCTCTGTCTCTCTCTCTCTGTCTCTCTGTCTCTCTCTCTCTGTCTCTCTCTCTGTGTCCTCAAATGCAAAAGGCTCGCCCCGCTGTTCGTTTTCCTGGCGGAGGTGTTCGGGAGACTGGGCACCCCGTTTTGCGAGAGCGGCTTTGTGTACGGAGTGACCGGGACGGGGGGCGACAAGCGGCACGTCGCGAACTTTGTGTGCGCCCAGGCCAAACTGGCGATCTATACGACCCGGAAGCGGAGGCTGGAAGGCGGCAGCGGTGGCTGTGGAGTGCTGGCGATGGTGCAGGCCCCCCTCATAAGGCGCGGCTCGAGTTAGAGTTCGCCTATTACGGTCATGCCGAGGGGGAGAGTGACTTTCTGAAGAAATGGGGGTGCGCCAAGGACGCTCTGTGTACAGTTGTGCAGAATGCACTGATCTACACGTTTGGACCCCTCCCCCCCCCCCGTTTTCCTTGGTCCAGGTCGTGCGGGACTGACGCCGCTGTTCGCTTTGGGGTGATTGTCACTGACACTGAACGAATTTAATTTGTCCACTGGTTGCAGAAATGGTCGCTTCCGAGTGGCCTACAAGGCACAGCAATATTCCAGCGCAATTTGCGCTGGGGAAATAAAGTTTTCAAAAGTCAAAGTCTCACTATCTCTCTCTCTGTCTCTCTGTCTGTCTCTGTCCTGTCTGACTCTCTCTCTCTCTCTCACTATCTCTCTGTCTCTCTCTCTCCTGTCTCTCTCTCTGTCTCTCTCTCTGTGTCTCTCTCTCTGTCTCTCCTCTGTGTCTCTCTCTCTGTCTCTCTCTCTCTGTCTCTCTGTCTCTGTCTCTCTGTCTCTCTCTCTCTCTGTCTCTCCTTCTCTGTCTCTCTTCTCTGTGTCTCTCTCTCTGTCTCTCTCTCTCTGTCTCTCTCTGTCTCTCTCTCTGTCTCTCTGTGTCTCTCTCTCTCACTATCTCTCTCTCTGTCTCTCTGTCTGTCTGCCTCTCTCTCTCTCTCACTATCTCTCTGTTCTCTCTCTCTCTCTGTCTCTCTCGCTGCGTCCGTGTGCCGCTGTGTGGCGCAGCGAGCAGGCCTACGTCATCGGCCTGGTGGTGCCCAACCGAGTGCGCCTGACGCACCTGGCGGGCCAGAAGGGTGTGGGGGGCTCCTGGGAGGAGGTGTGCAACAGCCCCCTGCTGGAGGCCGAGGTGCTGCAGGAGATCCGCGACATGGCCGTCAAAGGTGGGGGCCGCACTAGCACCACCAGCCCACCACCATCATCGTCATCGTCACCATCATGATCATCGTCACCACCATCACCATCATCGTCATCGTCACCATCATCATCGTCATCGTCACCACCACCACCATCATGATCATCGTCACCACCACCACCATCATCATCATCGTTACCATCATGATCATCGTCACCACCATCATCATCATCACCATCATGATCATCATCATCGTCACCACCACCACCATCATAATCGTCACCACCATCATCATCATCGTCATCATCACCATCATAATCGTCACCACCATCATCATCATCGTCATCATCACCATCATAATCGTCACCACCATCATCATCGTCATCATCACCATCATGATCATCGTCACCACCACCACCATCATCATCATCATCGTCACCATCATGATCATCGTCACCATCATCATCATCACCATCATGATCATCATCGTCACCACCACCACCATCATAATCGTCACCACCATCATCATCATCGTCATCATCACCATCATAATCGTCACCACCATCATCATCATCGTCATCATCACCATCATAATCGTCACCACCACCACCATCATCATCGTCACCACCACCACCACCATCATCGTCATCGTCACCATCATCATCATCGTCGTGTCACTGCAACCGCCGTCACACCACTGCACCCACCACCATCACACCAATCCACCCACCACCATCACACCACTCCACCCACCATTGTCACACCACTCCACCCACCATTGTCACACCACTCCACCCACCACCATCACACCACTCCACCCACCACCGTCATCACCACTCCACCCACCACCGTCACATCACTCCCACCCACCACCACCATCACACCACTGCACCCACCATCGTCCACACCACTCTACGCACCATCACACCACTCCACCCACCACCATCATCACACTGCAACCCACCACCATCACACGGCGCAGGTTTGAAATTGGAAATATTTCGAATTCCACAAAATCCGCCGTTCACCAAAAGGAATGGACGGAGCTGAAGCCGCGAGTCGTAGTGCGGACGTGAGTCGCCCTCCGTGTGTTCACCCCCCTGCCCCTGCCCCCCCGTGCCCCCCCCGTGCCCCTCCCCGTGCCCCCCCCCCCCATGCGCACGAGCAGTGAAGCTGGAGCGCTTCGAGGTGCCGCGCAAGGTCCGTCTGAGCGCCGAGGCGTGGACCCCCGAGACGGGGCTGGTGACGGACGCCTTCAAGTTGAAGCGCGTGGCGCTGCGCACGCACTACCAGCACGACATAGAGCGCATGTACGCCGCCAAGGACGCGTGTACACACAGACACGTAACACACAGAGACACGTGTACACACGTAGACACGTACACACGTACACACACTGCGCACGCACTACCAGCACGACATAGAGCGCATGTACGCCGCCAAGGAAGTCGTACACACACGTACACAC